ATAAGGGGTGTCTGTAGACTAAGTTCAGATTCTAGAATTGCTCATGACCCCTCTTGAAATCCTAAATCAACGAGTCCCAGAATCTGCCCTTGGAAAATCCCAGGTGAGACCCCTGGGTTCTGGGTCACACTTGGAGAAATACTGGCCACACATTTCCATTTAATAACAACACCATCCCTGCTCAGGTAGTAACGCATGGAAAGGCAGGAATATTCTAGTACAACCATCTCTTCAGGTTGTCCCCTGCTCTACCGGCGCCCAAGGGTATATAAGGTGCTGCCTGAGGCCTCCACTGGAAGCTCCTTCTTGGGATCTTTAAAGAGAATATTTAAGAGTCGAATTCCTACTAGCATACAAACTCCATGGCGGGGAACTTGCCTCCTTCTTCACTACGTACTCCCACACCCAGCCTAGCTTCCTGTAGGAAAATAAATTAGCTGATACGTTGGCTGAATAAATGAATGAGTGAAAGGGAATCTCACACACACACACATACACACACACACACACACACTTCCAGCAAGCAAGGGGCAGCCAGATCCATGCAGGAGGACAAGAAAGGAGGGTTCACAGTCAAGCCTCTTCTCTTTGGGGGCCACTCTCCATTTGTTCCCCAGAAAGTCCCCTTGTGCCTGTTTTCATGATGGTGTCCAAATATCTCTGCCTTCCCTGAGTGCTGTGCTGTTCACCACCTGCCCCAGGTGACGTGGATTTGGTCTCAACTCCCCAGGGCTCCAGCCTCCTCCCTGTCACCCTCAGACCCTCCGCAGCGGTGACTTCCTCGAGGAGTTACTTCCCAGCAGTCCTCAATGCTGATCCTCAGACCTGCACACAACTCATGACCCTGGTGTCCTTGCAGAAACTCTGGGCTGTGGGTGCCCATGACTGGCTGTCCCCAGCTCTTCTGTGACTACTGCTGTCACAGCAATCATGGTGCTTATTGACAGCATCTATGGGTGTTAGAGCCCATGAGACCATAGCTCCCAGGGCTTGGCACAGTGCCTGGCATCTCTGAGGAGCTTTGTCTATGGAATACAAGGAATCGAAGCTGGGAGCCCAGGCCTTGCCAGGGCTCCCTCCTCATCTGCCCAGGCCTGTTCCTGCAGCACTGGACAAGGACTCTCACCACCTCCCTTTCCTGCCGTGTCACTCCATCCCACTGGGTGCCTCATCTCTGGCTCTCACTGAAACCTAGCTCTGCTCCAGGAACTCGGACTTTCCTCTTTGCCTGCACCTGTCCAAAGGGTGGCTAAAGCAGGAGTAAAGACTTGGCATCTCTGCCTCCATTTGGCATCCATCTTCTTCCTCCAGAATCTCCTTGGAGTCCAGGAACAAGGTCTTATGGATAAATGTCCTATGATGAGTTGAAGCTGCCTTCCAGGCAAAAGCCACTTTCTTTTGTAAAACAAGGGCCCACCTGACCAAACTTAAGGTGACGATGGACAGAACACACCTGACCAAGATCACCTGCTTTGACAGCTGTGACAAGCCTCCAGCCAGGCAAATCCCCAACCCTTGCCCTCATTTTCCTTTCTGTAAAACCTCAAAGTCCTTGTCAGGCCTGGGAGGCAGGGTTCAGGCCACGGGTCTCTGGTCTTCCTGGGGTGGCTGCACTGATTAAAGATCCTTTTGTGCTTTTCACCATCGCCTTTTGGGGACAAGTAGCTGGTGTGGCTTGCTGGATCCCTAGAGTAAGGCCCCTGGCCTAGGACTCTAGTCACACCTTTTTCTTCCCTCCTTTTTTTGGGGGTCTTTCTCATACATAATTCATTAGCCCCCATAATTTGTCACTTGACCAAATTTCCTTCTTTGCCAATTAAGCATCTTTTCCAACCTCCTTTTTCCAAGCTCATGGTCACCCATCCCTACAGAGACACTGCTTAGCCGTGGACGTCTCCCCTCACAAGACCTGAGAATCTTTGTTTTCAAAATAACACATTTGAGAACCACAAATGGTTAAAAAAAACTGGAGAAGGGAGGGGCAGGCAGGAAGGACTTACTACCAGGGGCACAAAGAAACTCAGAGTGATGCACATATTCAGTATCTTCACTATGGTGCTTGTTCACAAGTACATACATGCCCAGACTCACCCAGCTGAAAGCATTGAATACATGTGATTCATTCCATGTCAATTATACCTCAATAAAATTGTTTTAAAAAATGAAGCACACACCTGTAATCCCAGCAACTCAGGAGGCTGAGATACGAGGATCACAAGTTCGAGGCTAGCTTCAGCAACTAAGCAAGGCCCTAAGTAACTTAATGAGACCTTGTCTCAAATTTAAAAATAAAAAGGACTAGGGATGTGGCTCAGTGGTTAAGTGCCCCTGGGTTCAATCTCAAGTACCAAAAAAAAAAAAAATTAAAAATGGAGAACTTCAGAGACTATACAGCCCGGGATTCTCTGCTTGCTTCAGAATCACTGGGGAGTTCAAGAAAATACAGAATCCAGTGAATAGAATCCAAGTCTTTGGGAATGGGAGACAGGAATGAGTCTTCTTAATAAACTTCCCAGGTGACAACTAGACCAGCATTTGGAAACCTCAAAGTGTGGTCCCTCACCACTCTTAGCAGCTGTCAACTGGGACCGTCAGGGGAATGCAAATTCCACTAAGTCAGATTTGTTTGAAGCCCTTCTGGTAACTGTGAGCTGGCTGAACTCTGAGAACTGCTGATTCACTAACAGTCATTTGGTGATATAAATAAAGCCAGGAGGGGGACATGACTTGCCCAAGGTCTTCCAGCAGGGTCTGGATCTCAGACCTCCTTCTCCCTCCCAGTCTCCATGAACCTGGCCCCAGGGAGCCATGGAGGCTTGACAGTGGTCTTGGCTCAGCTCAGTCACCACAACAGGCCCACCAATGGGGCAGACCTGAGGAGAGTGTGGACAGCCCCTCACTCCCTCTCGCTTCCCTGAGTGGTCACTGAGCACCTCCCTGAGTGGTCCCTGTGCTTCCCTTGCTGGGTGCTGAGACCCAAGAGCAGTAAGGCGATGCCTCTGCCCGCCAGGGGCTCAGTCCCGCAGGGTATAGGGGAGCCTAACTGGACCCTCACAATGGGGTGACAAAAAATAGAGGGTGATTTAACCCACACTGGCTTGATTCCTGTAGGAAGGGCTTCCCCCAGCTTTGCCTCCCTCAGAGGGCCCCTCTTTGACACTGCTCATCCACACCCTGGCCCCTGCCTTTGTCCTGCTCCTTCAGCTCAAAGTTCGAAAACCCAAAAGCTTTTCTTTTCTTCCCCTCAGCACAATGGACACAAACGGCCTTTTATAAGGAATTTTAGAGAGTAAACAAATAAAATATCAAAAGCCTGGCCTGCCACGGTCCAAATCTCTAACCCTGCCATGTGCAGCAACTCCATCTTCCATTTCAATCCAGTTCTCCACTTCAATCCAGTTCTCCATTCCTTCCTAAAAATCAGCATCAGGCAGCTGTGCTGTGGGCATAATGGTGGGTAAGAAATGAGCTCAGTGCCCCTGACCGCTCTCCACAACCAGGCCCTTTGCCCCATCCCCTCTAGCAGCCCAAGATCCTTCCAGAAAGCTTTGCACACAGGCAGGCAGAGAGAAGGGCTTCAGAAGACAGGGAAGCAAATCCCCCTCCCGCCCACTATATCCTTTAATCCTCACAATCATCTTTAAAGAGGTAGAAATAGTCTCAAAGGGGTGAGATAGCATGCCTGAGGAGGGGAAATAAATATATATTGAGCCAGGTCCACAGAGTACTGTGCTAATGCCCTCCACGATGTCCACTTCCTAATCCCCAGCACCTAGGATGAAGCCACTCTGCTTGGCAAAAGCGACCTTGCAGGTGTGATTCAGTTAAGGATCTTGAGATGGGAGATTATCCTGGATAATCTGGGGGGCCCAATGTAATCACAAGGGTCCTTAAAAGTCAGGGGGAGGCAGGGGAATGAGAATTGTGATGCAGCACGAGGAAGACCTCTCTGGCTTTTGGTGCTTTGAAGAGGGAGGAAGGGACCACAGAATGGAGCAACCTCCAGAAGTAGGAAGGCAGGGAGAGAAAAAAAGTCCTGTTGACACCTTGTTGTGAGTGCAGAGAGACCCTTTTGGTCTTCTATGGTTTGGATTTGAAATGTTTTTCCCCAAAAAACTCATGTGTTAAAAGCTCTACCATCTCCCATAGTGCTATTGGGAGATGGTAGAGCCTTTAGTGGGCGGGGTCTAATGGGAGGAAGTTAGGTCACTGAGGGTTCACCTTTAAGAGGGGTATTGGGACCCCAGCCTCTTGTTTCCTTTCTGTTCCTACCACCATGAGGGCAGCAAACTTTGTTATACCACCTGCTCCCACCATGATGTGCTGCCTCATCACAGACTCAAAGGCAATGGAGCCAACTGATCATGGACTAAAACCTCTGAAACCATAAGCCAAAATAAAACCATTCCACTTTTTAAGTTGATTATCTCAGCTATTTTATCATTGTGATGAAAAGCTGACTAGCATAATGAACTTACATTCTCCAGAATTGTAAGATTATTAAATGTTTGAGTTCATGAAAAATTTTTCTAGATACCAGAGGACATTAATCCAAATCCCCAACAGAGGACAGAGAAGTTCGTCCACAGCATCTGCTTTGTTAGCTCAGCTGTCCCATTGCCTAACGTTCCTCCCCATTTCACAGATGAGGGCACTGAGCCTCAGAGTGTTGATTTGCCCCAGGCCAGCCACCCAGCTCATCTTAGGTCTAGGTTTCTTAGGAAGGGATTTAAAGTCATGTGACTTCCTGTGAAAGCACTCTGTAGGCAAATTGCACAGAGGAATGACCCGCTCCATCACAGGGAAGGGCATGAGGAAGGCCAGGGTCTCAGGGCCAGTCAATCCTTAGCCTCACACCCAGTCACTGTTAGCTGAGAAAGTTATCCCCACTCCCAGCAAGGGGCTCCACCCTTTGTACTCCAAGGGTCCCTACGGTGGCTGACTGCTGCCATAGGAAATGGTTAGAGATGACCTCCCAGACTGAGGGCATTTCTCTGCAGGAGAAGAAGCTGGGGGTGCGCACACCAGCCCAGCAGAGAGGACATGGGCAGGTCCTGATGGCATGACCACACAGGTATGAACATGTCCCTCTCCTGCAGGGGGGTTTGAGGGAGGCCACGGCCAGGAGGATTTGAAGGAGCATGCACAATGCCGTGGAGAAGGGGCAGCAATGGCTGGAGCCAAAGACGCGTGTTCAGACACGAGGAGGTGCCTGGGGCGCCCAGATTTCCCCATCTGAGCAGCATCCTGAGCGCCTGGGCCCCCGACCTCACCCCATGCCCCCATTAATAGTGCTGCAGGAGGAAGCTGCAGCCTCAGTGTCTTGACGGCAGCACCAAGTGTCCCCCTCCCTCCTTCCCCTCAGGGCTCCCCAGACCAGAGACCAGCACCTCAAACGTTCCTCAGATTCTCTGAGGAAATTGGATGTTAATGGTGTTCACAGCTCCCTTTCTTCCTTCTCCTTTCCCTCCCCCTTTCCTTTGGAGCCCATCCCCAAAGCTATTAATATCCAACTTGAACTAAACGGCAACTGTATTTCAACTTTCCCATTTTTGGGGGCCACAGGCTGGGTTGTTTGTCCAGGGGCCGTGAGAGGACCGAGGCTCTGCTCCATTCCAGCCCCGTGCACTGGTGGCCGATGATACGGAACATGACGGCCATTGCCAGGTCCAGGAGGAAGGGGAGTGTTTCATTAGCTGCATGTTTTATGTGGTGGCAGCTGATGCTCCTGTCGGGACCTGCACACGCAGTTTGCCCGCCTGCCTAATGGAGGAGAAATGTGCTCTCCAGCGCGGCCATCCCTGGACCCAGGCAAGCGCTAGGAGGGACTCACTGCAGGCTGCTGGTGGCCAGAAGCCCTCAGTGGAACAGGACAAGGAGGAGGACAGCAGGCCCCACAGGCGAGACGGTTGTCAAGGAAGAGGCTGGAGATCTGCCCACGGGATAATGGAGTGGTACCCACTTCTTGGAGAGAACCATTTTTTCTGATGTCAAATCAGGACTTTGGGGACCCTGAAGGGAACAGGGTGGCTCACCCCCAGGATGCAGGTGGGGAAACTCATGCTCAGATGACCTTGTCCTTGTCTGTGAACTCCATTGCAGGTCAGTGGTGGAATTCAGGTCTCCTGACCCACAGGTCACTACCCATCCCCACCCCTGGGCTACTCCAGCCCCCCGCCCCAGGATTAAATAAAATTGGCTTTTGGGGACCAAACTGAGCTTCCAGACAAGCACCGCCAGCTAGCGACCAGGTGTGTGCTTCCCACAGAACGCTTTGGCCCCAGAACCCAATTTCTTCTGTCTCCATTTCAGTGGGAGCCTGGGGCTGTCTTTAAAGAGCCGAATGTCCCACAGCCCATCTCCCAGTCCCAGGCACCCGGTCCCACCAGAGCCCCAGACAGTAGTCCTGAGGTCCACTCTGTGCACTCACTCCTGGAACAAAGACCCTAGGAGGAAAAACACCCAAGAGCGCCTGGGCTTGGCTCCTGGCTGCTGCAGAGCTTTGCCAGGGTAAGCGGCACAGCAGATGCTTGGCCACCAGGAGGAGAGCAGGCCACTTAATTACTAGAAGCTTCTGGTTTTGTGGCACTCCCACTGGGCCACGTTGCATGCAAGGGGCTTTGCCAGAGTCATTCGTGAAATCTGCCCGTCAGCCTATGAGGGATGCAGGGGAGGCAGCACCTCTGTTTGAGAGAATGGTCCCCATTCTTGAAGGCCCCTTCCTTCATGTTGCATCCTCTTAAAAGCTCAGGAGACCATCCTGACAGAGAGGGTGAGCCTCTTTTTTCTGAAGAGGAAGGTGAGGCTCAAACATGAAACTTGCCCCGGGGCCCAAGATGCTCAGCACAGGACCCATCCCCAGCTGAATGAGCCCAAGGCCTGAGCTCTTTCTGCCATGGCTTCCACAGAGGGTACCAAAGGCAGGAGGTCAAGGACTCCTATGTCCAGGAAAGGGTCTGGGTGTGGGACATGAGCCAGGGGGCTTGTGGTCCCACACAGTTACAGATGGCCTCCAAGACAACAAGTCAACAAGGGGCTCTTTGGCCTGGGAGGAGAAAAGTTGCTTCCTTGGCCCTGCTTGGGACCCTGCTCTCCTGAGTCTGCACTGGGAACATGCATTCCCTCAGTGGGCACTTCTTGAGCCCCTGTTCCTGGCAGGTTCTGGGCTAGTTGAAACCCCGATGGCTTGTAATCTAGATATCTGGGCTAGTCATCTTCAGAGCCCTTTGAAGTTTCCAGCTCTGCCTGCAGGCCTGGGACCCCTCACCCCCACAGTGTGTTCCTGATTCGCACTCCCAGAAACACACATGTGTATGTGCACACACACGCAGAGACAGACACGCCTGTCTGCACACCCTCTCCAGAGAGCATGAGGGTGCACACACTCACACGCCTTCCCTAACAGCTACCCCTACACCAGCTCAGGCCCTCTAGCCAGAGTGAGGTGACAGGACAGATGCAGGGGCCCCAGTGGCTCAGCGGACAAGGTTCTGGAAGAAGAGCACTCCTCCAAGGCCTTTAAAGCAAATGCAGAGGTGGTGCCTGGGAGGGCCCCTTCCATTATCTCCTCAGCAGAGTGGCCATTGGAGTTGGCTGGTGACAGGGTCGGCTCCTGTGGAAAGAGGGGTACTGAGGTTTCCAGAGAAATGTGCTCCGAAGAAGAGCCCATAACCATTCAGGGGCTGATGAGGACTGTACACCGGGGACAGAGGAGAAGAGGAAGGATCGAGCGGGGCAGGGAGGGCACTCAGGAGATGGCGCTGGAAGGCAGCTGGGTAATGTGGTTGGATGCAGAGAGATGGGTTTTGCATGGTTTTCTGGTTTCCGTTTTGAAACAGAATTCTATTTTTCATATATTTTTCCCAGAAGTTAAAGTCAGATCAAAGAGGAGGGAACAGCTCTGGCTAAAATGAAGACGTGGGAAGAGGAAATAAAGCCTTGGTCACTCAACTCCCCATTGTCCTCCTCCATCATGGCGACCCCCCAGGGCACCTCTGCAGGCCTTGTTGCCCCCAGAGTGGGGGCTGGGCGAGGTGTGCACAGGCCCCAGGTTAGCAGCAGAGGATGACGTCACAGAGACAAGGCAGGGTGCGAGACTCCAAGGGACAGTAAGCGGAGGTCTTCTGCTCAACTGCAAGGGCACAGCACGGGGGGCTACTCATGAGAGCGAGGGTGGCAGCCAGTGTGCAGACCAGCAGGGCATACAAGCCATCAGGGCAGGCGGGCCAGCAGGACCCAGACACCCCCTCAGGGCAAGGACTGGAACACACCACTCAGCTCCCAGACTAAGACACCAGGCCTGGGGTGCAGGGAGCACGGGAGCCCCAGGCAGAGCCAGGCAGACGGGAGCCCCAGGCAGACAGGAGCCCCCAACCTGGCCTGGGCCCTGGGCTGCATGGATGCAAAGGCACTGCTGGAGTCTGCGTGGCTGCCCCAGATCCATGGTCTGCGGCCAGGGCAGGGGACAGGTGACTGAGCTGTCACAGCAAAAAGGCGGAGC